ACACTTACTCCTGTAGCTGTAACCCAGTAACCCCAGGTCACTCCCCTGGTGAGCTGTGTTCCCAGAATAGGAAGGTATTCTGAAATGTGCCCTTATGGAAGGAGACCACTACATAACAGCAACAGTCTCTTTGTTCAGTGGCATGCTGCAGAGTATTTCTGCTCTACTTGATCATACTGATAATTTTGAGCCAATTAAATACTTTATGAAAATCTGGAACAAAGGTTAATAAATATAAATCTGCCCACTTGTTGTATGCTGTGGGTGAAAAGCCTTAAGGATTTCCCCAGAGTACCCTGAGAGATTGGCTGTATTTGAAATTTTTCTGTCCAGAAACTCAAAGAAAGATGGTCCTGTCTAAAATAACAGAATTCAAAATAAAGAGAGTCAGGCCTTCTAAAGGAACTACATGCCCCCTTATCACTGTTGTTGGCTAGCAGACCTAGAGATTAAAGAGATCTGCTGCTGAAGTCATCACCACAAGATGAAAGATTACCTGGCTTTGAATATGTTCAGCTAAGATGTCTTTAACTAAAAGGCTCATGTCTACTGCTTCAGAGCATGCAGCAAGTGGCTATCAGCTGTTTGAGTTAGAGCTGTTGCAGAATAAAGCACTCCACAGAATATTCCTTGGGTTTGATCTCACAGACTCCTCTATACAGGTGGATTTGTGCTTTGTGGACCTGAGTGTCCCTGGAGGAGCTAATGCCTGGATATTCAGAACCTCCCTCCGCAAATTTGTCACAGCAGTGCAAGGGACAGGACAAAAAAAAGATCTGTAGGTCAAATGGATTTAAACCTAGATTGCTGTGTTAGGCTGCAGCTCCACCACGGAGTCTGTGCAGGCTCAAGGTGTACATGCTCAATTAACCCAGATGAATTAACTGATCCAGATATTTGCACTAAATAAAATCAACTAGTACCTAACAACAAGAATATTTTGCTAGTAATTTAGAGAGCCACAGAAGGTGAGAAGTCACCTAGACAATTTAATTTCTTTTCCTGAGTCACTCAAGACAGACAATTTCATCTTTTGTCAAGTATGGTGGTATGTCAGTCATCTCACTACTGTACAAAGGAAAGAGAATCAAAGTGAGAGTAACTGGTTTCAACCCCCTCAGACCTCGTGCACCTCTGTTCTCTGTAGATGCTGTTTTAGATGCTGGGATTGGAAGAGGCTGAACACAAAGGAATGCTGAATAACAATCAAGTTTATGCAAGTTTACCACCAGTGAACTGAGAATTTTTTCTGCTTGTCATTTCTGCATCTGCTGGGGTCACCAGCTTGCTAAAATGACTGTAATAGGAAAGAGAGAATGGTGAACAATAATCAGCAGTGTAGGCATTGTAGTCTTTAGTGTAGATGTCTTAAGCACATTCTAGCACCACAGGGAGAGATGGGCTCCAGCCCACCAGAACAGCTGCTGTGCTGCCAATCCCCCTTGCAGGGGCCCATCTCTCCCTTCTGACCAGGCAGGCCCTCAGGGATGTTACCTTCTGAACTTGGTCATGCTTTCAGGGGACCACTGGGTCTGTCCAACAGCTGTCAGATGACAAAAGGCACCTGTTGTATCCCTACAATCCCACCTGCATGGCCTTACCCCCTCCTTTGCTTTGACTGTGAAATTTCCCTGTCTCTTGGCATGAACCAATTTTCTCATTCTGTTGCCACGGTAGGGTTTTGCCATCTCAGGGTGCCAAAAGAGCTCAGTGTTGGCCAAGGCCAGACACAGGGACGGGGGCAGCACAAGAATGGGGACTGGACCTTGCAGCCATTCCAGCTTAAGTCACTATAGAGCTACAGACCAACTTTAGTACCAGCAGTTAGGCAATGTGAATATCACACCAAGCTGCCTCCCTTCAGGTGCAAACCCAGTCATTTACAGCACATTTTCCTATGCTGCAAGCAGTGTTTGACTCACAGTCACACAAACTCCTTAAGACACTGAACAGGGCTGCATAGCACTCCACAGGGTAAAGAGACAAATAACCATCTCAAGGCAGCACTGGATCCTGAAGGAGGATGCAACATTAGAGATTCAGAAGAGAAAAAGGAATAAAAGCAGCAAGGCAGGCTTTAATCTAATGATGCTGTGATGCAGTCGTGCAAGGACACTGTCAGCTTCTGCAAAGGTACAGTGGAAATATTAGCACACTGTCAGTATTTCTATCTTTAGAAAACTATTTAATCTCAACATTCATTCCACAGTGTGTGACGGCACTGAAGGTCCACAAACCCTCAAAATGAATATTCCTGATGTGAAATAGAGGGAATTGAAAGGTCCTTACTAACCTTTGGTCAAGAATTCTTAATCCAAACTGATGTTGGCTCAGTCTTGCAAAAATAGCATAAACATTCCCAGCCAGGTACAAAATCCATTTATTATTATTAACCTGGCACAGGTGTAAAATAAATGAGAACTAATGCATTCAGCTACCCAAGACAACATCATTTCCCACAGTGAGTGTACTTCAGCAAGTCTTGATCAATCTGATGGTACCCTGTGATGCAGAAATGCCACTATTAACTTGCCCAGCCTGCATCCGAATTAACGCGACCCAGCCACCAAGCACACAGCACCAGTAGCTATAACAAAGCTGAGGACAATGTCTGCCCTCCTGCAGAGTGAAGTGGATGCAACTAACATCTCCTACTAACTTCATGTCTGGAGCAAGGCCTGAGGATCTTAATCTAAAGTTTAATAGTGTTTATTTTTATTCTATGGAGAGCTAAGAGCATTTGTAGGAGAGGGTAGGAAAGGTCAACAATTCCTTCAAGCATTTCTTCTCACCCCTGTGGTCCACATAAATCACTGAGAGCCCTGAGAGCGTGGAAGATCAGGTCTTCAAGTCATTAGCAAGTTTAAACTTTGCATAAAAGTGCTAAAATCAGTGGCTGTCCATACTACAGAAATTTTCATTTGCTCTCAATTGTGAGTGCTACATCACATCCCTTCAGTTAAGACCTCTTTTCATCAAGGAAGCCAGAACAGATTTCCTTTTTTTGGCTAAACCTCTCTTAAAACGTATTCTGATGATCTTTCCTGTAATGCTAACACATGTTTTTTTCAAATAATGTAGCTGCACAGAAATAGTTCTGATATACAATAACTTCAGCTCTTTGTGGTGTGCCATGGCACACTGTTTACATTTATTCACTGAGACAGTGCCACATGAAACTAACAAATGCTTTTGAAAAAACGTTGCTGCAAATAAATTTGATTTTCTCCTCTCCCCATCTTCTACTTCACACAACCAGGTTTCGCCCCTTTACTCAGGCTGAGTAGTTAACTGAATTTAGTCTGAGCAAAGAATGATCTTGCATTATCTCTATGTGCACACAGAGCACTTGCAATTGTTCCGGATACTATGTAAGAACCTGCAAAAGATGTATGAATTTCCCCAAGACAAACCATGTAGCTGCTACACAGCCAAGATCACCTCACTGCTCCACACTAGACTGGAGTAAGTCACAGTCCTTGCATGAACACATGTGTGCCTTTGTCTGCCTGGATGAAATGTAGCAGGGTTGCTGTCCTCAACCTCAGCTGTTTGCATCACCCAAAGGACAACTACATCACTTCGCACAGCTTCTATTAAAAGCACTCCATGTGAGTGATTTTTAGCAGAGGAGATGCTCTTTTGGGAGCAAATTTGTCTTTGATCTATAACTAGGATGTTGCAATACGCAATCATCCATAACACTCATAATGTGGGTGCAGGTTCTTTCAGCAGCCAGCTCTCTGCACAAGAACAGCAGATACTGTGGCCAGAAAATGGCAAAAATCTCACAGCTGGGGAAGAAAAAAATGTGGATTGTGATGCTGGAACTAGAACAGATCACAGTCAATCAAACCCCTGTGCTCCCCTTTTCCAGTTACCAGCTGGTAATGCAGATGGACTCATCAGCTCAATTCTGCTGTCTTTGTTTCTGTTAAAGGCTCTACTGACACTCAGAGGTCAGCAGTAGTGGCATCAGTTATTGCCTCAAAGCACTGTATATTTTTTACCCCTTTTTTCAAAAATGGAATTTATTGCTCATAATTGCAGTCAGAATTTATGAACACTTCTGCTTGGGTAGGAGTAATACTGGATTCTGATATCATTATTTCTGGAAATGGATCCAGATGTGTTTCAATCAATAGACCTGTAACCATAATGATTGATTCTAATACTTCCAGGAGTGTTTGTGTGATTATAAAACTCCTGCAAGGTAAGCATTCAAATATTACAATACAGTAATGCTCTTATGAAGTATAAATTTAAAAGGCTTTTCTGAACCTTATTTTATAAGGTCCAATTCATTTAAGTGGGATTTTTTTTTAAGATATAATCCTCAAAGAGTGAATATGCTGAATGCTCTTTAAATCAGTTGATTTGGGATTTAATGTTGCAGCAGAAAAAGGAATTTTACTAAACAAAATACCTGATAGTATCTGAGTGTAAAAGAAGGACACTCTATCTTTGAACTAACCATTCAAAGGACTCTCAAAAGAGTCGCTGAAACTCTTATCAGAATTTGGTTATTACAATTTTTAAATTTTGTTTGCTTGCTTGGCTGGAGGTTTTTTTTCTGCAGTAGAACATATAAGCATATAAGGAGTAATAACTAGGGTACAACTGCTTGTCAAAGCTCCTGTAAATGTTGAAGTAATTCTTTCCACTGGGCTGATATTTCACTTTCTCTCACTGCAGGATGTTGCTCCATATGTGTTCTTGGACCATATGGAAAATTTAAAGAACTACACAGGTTACAAATTAGGGGAAGTAGTCAGTTTTCTCATACATCCTGGTGTAGAAGAGCTTGGGGTTGATGGTAAGAGGAACATTCTTCTAATAATGCTTAGTGTAGTTTCACTGTCTGTAGTCCCATATGAATACAAGCTATACTACATGAAAAGAAATTGAATTATAGGCTTGGTACCCATCATCTTTCTAATGGAAATTCTATCTCATGTATGAGCCAAGACACAGAACTGGAACAGAAGAATGTGTGCAAAGTCATGCCCTACCAGGACCCCAGGAATTTTAGTGTGGAACCAGTTTCACAGTCCTCATTTGGAGCTTAACTGGACCTTAGACTGGAACACAAGCAAGTAGAGTGGTTATAAATAATTATAAAGCTCTGGTCCTTCATATACTTGTTCTCAGAATTAACAAAACTCATATGAGTGATCCCATTAAATCCACAGCATCATCTATTGCTCACAAAATGAAAGCCCATTAAATCCACAGCACTACTTACTGCCCACAGAATGAAAGCCCATAAACCACTTAACTACCTCTGACCTGAGGGATTTTCTCATCTGTGCACCCTGGGACAAACTAAGAATGACATGGCTCTGAATTAATTACTCCTCTGCAGCTCTTTTCATCACTTCTGTCATGTAGAAAAATGCCAGTATTTACAGGATGAAGTTCTTAATTGAAAATGTTCACTGCCAACTCATGCAGCCACCATACAGAGACTATTGCCTATACTATGTGATATCAACAAAACCAGAGATCTTATGTCAAAATATTTTAATGATCCTCTAGAAGCAAAACATGATGAATGCCACATATTGCCACCATCCTGAGATTGTGCTTTGCTACCATTAAGCCAGCAGTAAGGAGTTTCAGAATTTTTCAGATAATTGTTACTTTGTATTTTAAAAAACGATCACTCAAAATTTTTAAATGTAGCAGTCACTGTGTGAAAAAAATCACTCCCTTTTCTCTCCAAGTGTAAAATATTTCTCTATTGTAGCATTATTGTAGAACTGTATTATATGCAGTTAATGCTCACAAAATCACATCAGATCAAATCCAACACCGAACTGCTGAGATATACACAAATTGTCTCCTTAGGATCATCACCCTGAAATTAAAACAATAAAAAATGTTATTGGTATTTCTTGTTTAGTAGAAAAACCTGCTTGTTATACTTGAAATAAGCCAACAGTTTAGTCTTTGTATGCACTGCACCTTCTGCATCAGCTTTTCATCTGTATTTCAGGCTGTGAGTCTGTGAGATCTATTATACAGAATCGCAGGCTCTCAGAATTCCCCTGGCTAAACTGGAATGCTCGTGCCTGGTCTAACTTGAGCATCTGCTCTTTCTAAAGCAGGACTCCTTTATTTGGATACCCCCAGAACCACTCACACTTATCCCAGCTGGTCCACACTCTTCAGGCTTCCTAAGCTAACCGAGGCCAGGTCTAGCCAGTATCATCATGGGGACACATTCATTGGTAATTTGAATACGGATATTCTCTAAATTATATTATCTTACTCATATTTTGAAATCGCCAGAGATTGCAATTATTCTGTTTCCTCAACAGGATATTTCTGCTGTGGAAAACCAAAACAAAACCCTTCTAGGTATGTAAATACTTATTCATTTGAATTGAAATCTAACAAAAATTCTCATTTGATTTAATCTATACTTTTCTATTCTGATAAATTTTAACTAAACCAGAAACAATTTATCTCCACTTGTTTCATTACTGACATTATTCTTAACATGTAAATTTAATTCACTGAATGCGAGAGCAAAGTGTCCTTAAAAGTTGTACTGCAGGTATTCTAAGGCATAAAACCCTTCTTTCAATATCTACTAATTTCACATTAGATGATATTTGCCCAAGTCAAGAACAGTCTGCAATTTTGCTGCTTGACAGGAATCCAGACGTGTCCTTACTTTAAAATGTGGTATCATTTTGCTCAAGGTAATTATAACTGAACTGTGGGTTAGTTCTTATTTCTCTAGCTACACTGGGACACCACAAGCACAAAAGACTTTCAACAGAATTTAAGCTCATGTTGCCATTATAAATAGGTTATGTGTAACAGTATTTATCATGTACTTGGATTGCAACAAATTCCAAGACTGAAAAAACATCACATACTGACAGAGTTTGGAAAAAAATTTATTCTTTTTGATGTTAGCTGCTGAGAAGAAAGTAAGCAGGTATCCCCTTGCTTTAGAAGATGCTGCTCTGGCAGCTCCACCTTGAGTGGAGGGAGTCACTGCTGCTTTTTGTCAGAAATAGAACACATTTAATCGTTTGGTTGGAGTTAAAAAAGTCATACCTACTTCTTACTTTCCAGGTAAGATATGTAGGGGAGAGTTCAGCAGTTTTTACCTCCTAACCGCCTGCACACCTCTGCTCAAGCCCTCCTCCCTCAGTCCTTCTGCTCAGACAATTAAGCACTATTTTCTTCCCCAAGCTCAGAGTCTCAGTTTCATTATTCCTTTCTGTGTCTTTTTTTGTGTCGACTGACTCCTCTGGGCAGATGCTTAAAAGTTACTGCTTTGTATGTCAAAGCAACACATACTCATCTGCCCTGCTGTCTTTTCCTAGCAAACAGAAAACCTGATGGATTCTCGGTCAGACAAAATCTGCATTTTAACCAGGCTTCTGGGCAATCAAATTTATGCCAGTCTGATTAATTTATCATCTGACAATTTTTCTAATCACATTTTTTTCTATTTTTAAATGTGAATTAGGTCATTTCCCCTCCTTGAACCTACATTTACTTGAAGCTAATGACATGCCCTTATCAGGTTAAAGCAAAGAACAAGTAAGACTTCCTTCAGCTGCACAGCAAAGATGATTTGGTAATCTAATGTAAAATAATAAAGATCATTAATTATATTTCAAGATTTTGCTGTTACTGCATTTTCTGCTTGACCATCTGTGATAGGTGGGCACTGACTTTAGTCACAACCTGTACATGTCTGTTGAACATCATCATAAAGGTACAGGAGAGGATATTAAGGCAAAAAAAAAATTCCACTGGCAAGGATGGTGTTTAGTACTGCCAAAAATTATTCACTGGGATGCAATTACAATCTCCCTATAGGTGCTCCCAGCACAGAAGCTTCCTTCACTCCTCATTTGCAGCAGCAAACTTTTGTGTCCCACTAATGTGTGTGGGATGTTCTGCCTGAGCCTTCTGTGGGCACCCACTGGTGTAAGGAACCTACAGCTACCCACCAAGAGGAAATAATACAGAGCATGGAGAAGAACATAAAATGGAAACTGAAAAGAGAAAGGAGATTGTTGAATTTTTAGAAAAGGTTATCAGTAAAATATACTCATTATAGAATTTCAATTATCTCTAATAGTTGCTAATACTTGCAGAATGGTAGCTCATACTGAAAGCATTTATTTGGTTTTCTCTTTGTAAATATAAGTGTAAATAGAGCAGCACAACTTATTCTTCCAGTGGTTTTTTTTATTTTTTTTTCCTTTACAGCTTATTTGGCAAATTTGGTCACAAGTGGTTTTCAGTCTGTCAAGCATGGACAGCATTTAATTAATACACATACAGATACTTAAACATTTTTGTGGCTTCTATCTTCTTCTCTCTAGAGTAAATATTTCTAAGGAGGTGGCTTTCGTTTTCTTAGCTCATGTAGTTACTACAATTTAAATTACACCGTATGTCTCCAATGATTTCTATTATAGGAATAACAAATACAATGGAAACTGCTGGATATAAACAGCTTAGCCACTAAGAAAAAATACATTATGTATTTGTTAACCTTTCCAATACGCTGCAACCTTTTACAAGCAAAAAATGAAAGTGCATGTATACTCAATTCAATTCCTCCTAGGTAATCTCCTGCCATGGACTAGGAGAATGGATTCACTATATGGATTCTAGATCCCTTCTCACAGGTTTTATAATATTTTAATAATCTGAAAGCCATTTATTTTTCTATTTCTTAAAAAAAACCCTTGAAACAATAAAATTCTGCCTTCCTGGTACTAACAATCTGCTATTTTAAAACTTAACATTCTCTGATGATAAAGTAAGTGTGAACATATCTTTGACAACATGTTTTCTAAATATCAAAAAAGGATATTTTCAAATACATTTCAGAACCCAGCCAGAAGAAAAGTGCCTTTAGCTTTTAAGCTTGAAATTTCTGGCTTGAACAAGATGATGCTATTTATTTAACTTGAGTAATACAGTCATAAGCTTACATCAGTCCAATTAAAGTATATAGTATACAATGGCAGTTCTACTGTACACTTCACTTAATATTATATTAACTTGGACCCCGTGGAAAAATAGAGGTCTGTGAAAGGAGACTCTGACAACAGTATTGTGAGCTCAGGAATTTCTGAGTTAGCTTAAAAGATGAAGAAGTATTTATACAAATTGGTCCTACTTTGTCAACAGGGCAAATCAAGATTGAAAACATGCAAACTTGCATTGAAAACAAGACAAATCTTTTCAGAGTCATCTCTAGTGTGTACATAGTAAATTGGCTCAAGGTCAGAGGCCAGGCTGTGCTGCATTTCTCTGAGGCAATACACAGAAGGTAGAGATCCAAAGGGTTGGGACAGATAGAACAGAGGGAAAAGGAATGACACTTCATGCTATATTTGTAACTCCCAGATTCTGAGCTGCCTCTAGGTAAAATGCTCAGCAAGATCTGCTGTAGTGTATGGCAGCTCCCTCACTGCTGTCCACAAGCTGCTCTGCAGCCCTGGGCCATGAGCACACACTGCTCGAATCTTTACCCTTTAACAAGAGGCAAGGAAGCCAGAGATGCACGCTTCCCCTTCATGGAATAATCCCCATCCTTACTCTGCTCTCTGTATACACATGGAAAGGCTGGGCCAGGATTAGGTGTCTCCTGGAGATCACAATGTATGAATGCCTTTAATAAAGTGATTCTTAAAGGAGGCTGGTACCTGGGAACTGATACCAAACCAAAGTTGACAGAGACACGTATCTGAGATAAGGAGACACTTCTGATTGACTATGATTTATGGGGATAATTTGTACTTAGCTATGATCCCCTTCTAATATTCACAATTAGAAAACATTTCTCAACTCTGTGATTCATGTTTATTCAGAAAGATTCAACCTTTCACTTATTTGGAAATACAACTTTCATTGAGAGTAAGGTAGAAATGTCTCTCTAAGGAAGAACAGACTCACACTTTGTAAAACAAGTTTTCCCTTGGCACATTAGTGAAATAAAGATACTTCATGTGATAAGAATGGGACCTACCTTTTTAGTCCGATTCACATTTACCAAACTGCAACTTCAAAATGCCTTTGCCATGAAGCTCAAGGATCTGGTTGTACTCTTTGGGCATTGCATGGAAACCTGGCTTAGGCAGCTGGTTGTCATAATAGTGGTGGCTGATTGGCATCTTCTCCATGGATTTTGAGAAAGGCCAGAAGCCATAGAGCTTCACATTCTCACACAGCTCAAGAGCAGCACTAGTGATCATAAAACCAGATGACAACCGGTAGGCCTTCACACCCTTAGTTCTCCAGAACTGGGCAAGACTTTTCAAATAAGTGGGGTGAAAAAATATTGCCCTTTGGGTTGCTTTGGACTCTTTCAGAGTGTGGTATACTTTAAAAGAAGTGGCTGTGTTGCTTCTGAAGGAAAATGCCGGCAGTAAAAGAAAAGCATCTCCATAGACCGCAATGTTTTCCAGAAATTCTGTCTTCTTTTCATTCAGCTTGTTGTATCTGCAAAGTACAAAATTTTAGGAATGGAATGTAGTATTCCTACATTACAGACCAGAACAGCACAACTGCACTTGCAAAGATGTTATGAACTCTGCGGCAGTTCAGCCTGTCTACACTGCAAATTTATATCACCCTATTATATGTTGTCATATGTGCAGCTATGAAAATCTGACTCTTGTATAATAAGAACACACCACATAGGATTGAGCTGGCAACACAGGAGATACTGAAGCAGATCAAATTCACTGCTAATGAGACTAGGACATGTTTACAGAATTGATCAATTCAAGAAATTAGGAAGAATGCAAAAAATATTGTGCTCATATTTTCTCTGTTTAAAAATACATGCACTACAATATATACTGTATGTGTTTGTGAAACGTGTTTCTTACATCAACTTGTATACAAAAATCTCTCTTCCAAATCTCTGTGTGCCCTGTGTGAAAATCCAAGGATGCATGTGAGCAGTCTTGGAGTGTTAAAGATTAGTGTGTGCTCAAGTGCAGGATATACTTTTAAAATAGCTAACAATACAGGCATCCCTGTTTATGTCCTTCAACTACAAAGGGAACACGAGGACATTTATAAAGACTTAGAACTCTAATTTCACAAATGACAAGGATTTATTCTCAGATGCTTTCAGTCACCAACAAAGAGTCTTAGCTCTCACCACCGTGTAATTCTGAGCTCCCAAATACTGACTAGTGAAATTCCCAAGTCATCTGAGAAGTGATTCAAGCAAGGGGGTCACTCAACTCATGTCCTCTATAGATCTGAATTTTCTGAACCACCTAAACATATGGAGCTTCCACCCTTTTGGGACCCAAAGGACTGAGTCCTCTTTTGTAGGTAGCTGTCTATTTGAGCAGAGTATTTTCACCTTTTAAGGCTATCAGAGTCCACTTTTCACAAACGACTCCAGCAGAAGCTGGAAAAATTGGTTTCATTTCCCTTCACAACTTGAGCAGGTTCAAAACCTTTCATGCAGCACTTTGAAACAGAGGACAGCAGCCACTGCCATTTCCATTCAAAGCATTCATGGAAGAGTTACCTCTTGCACAACTACTGCAAGGAGTGATACACCTTTCTCACCTTGAAGGGGTTTAAACTTACAGCTTCTACTTCCCAGAAAAGTGCCATTACCACCAAACTCTGAAACAAAATGAATGAGAGGGACTCAAGGCCCTCCTTTTGACCCTGAACCTATGTGCATGCAAGAGTCACACAGCCAAAACAAGCAAGAAATGCCTGTGCCTATGTCTAGGAAATGTGGTTGAAGGGTGAATTTCAGACCTCTGCTACAAGAATTTTCTCTGTTTTTACTCACTGTAAAATACTGAGCCTCCAGGACAGAATTCAAATCTCTACTCTTCCTTAGCTAGAAACCTGGACAATTCAACAGTGTCTCAATCTCCTTTCCAGCTCTGCCACTGTAAGAAGTGTAGGCCAGTTCAATAGGACACATAAGAGCTGTGCTTTTCTTCAAGAGAGTTCACCAGCATTTTACACCCTGACAAACACAGTTCAAAAGCTGATTAACCTTAACAATAACAACATCAGACTAAGCCAGTATGCAAACAAAGAATTAGAAATTACAGGGAATAATGTTGGAATAGGTATTCTGAGAGAAGAAACAAACTTGGTTCTGCTGAAAGGTACCAGGCTGCTTCCTCCTGCTTCTTCAAAAGCATTTACAGTTTTCTCTGAATATTTAAATAAATACTTTTTTAAAATCATAAGTCCTCTTGGACTCTCACTTAATCCTCCCACAAGCTTATCTCCCATTTTCTTCAGTGTAACTCCTATTAAACCCTAGTGTGACTTGATTTGGCTAAAAAATGAGTGCAGCTGTGGCAGAACACTTTGATTATACCCAGAAAAATTGTGGATCAGGTCAGAAGTCACCAAGGATGCTGAGTCATTGGACAATTTCCCTTTCTCATATCCCTGTGCAGCCCCACTAACATCAATGAGCTAAATCTAGTTTTGGAGAAGCAATAATTTGCCTTCATTAAAGTAAAAAAGTTTTGGGTACGCATTAACATAGTACTCATTGCAGAAAATGAAGTTCTGTCCCTGAATCAATGAAAAATGCCTGTTATTAATTTCTATGTACTCACTGTACTTTTTCCTTCTTCCTTTCAAGGAGAAAAAAAAAAAGCTTTGCCTTATGTTGTCTTTTTGACAATACAGTTACGACAGACAATAAAATACAGTGAGATTAGCAAGCAGTAAATAACATAGCACAGCAGTCCTTTTCATAGATAAGCTGCAGTTCCAGCCTGCTGAAGATGTCAGATTGGTCAGACTGGCCTTATTAGATTTTCTTTTCATCAAGAAGGTGAAAAAAACCCCACCTCTGCTGAGAAAAAAGTGTGTGAGCAAGCAGCTTTCATATGGATTGAAAAAATGGATTACAGAAGCTGGGGCTCCATTCAGGAAACAGTCTTCATCAGAACAGCCTCCAAGCACATTACCTAGGAACACATTCTCACAGTCCTACTGATAGAGTCAGACACACATTTCCAGCTTTCCTGATTTATGATTACAATTCCTTTCTAAATGCTTGGGGTCATGAGGGTCATGGAGGAAAAAGAAGAGGCTTGAGCTTGCAATCACCAATTTTACTCTGTCATAAATTGCAGACTAGTATCAGCCAAGGTATCTTGCTGATCTGGCTACAAAAAAGGCCAGGTTTAGAAGATTTCCGTTTAGACTGGTGCATATTTTACATGGAAACTAAGGCTTAATGAAGTAATCTACCTGCACTTCTGTCTATGCTGGTATCCCAATGGATTTCCATGAAAATCTAAATCATGTCAAACAATTACACACCATTGCACAGAAACAGATTTGCAGCAGTACTCACTTCTGAGCTATGATACTCGGATTAACAGTCACAAGGTTTGTTTTATTGCCAACATCTTTGCTAATGTTTCCTGTGGTTGGAGGGAGGTTACACCTGAAATTGAGAAACATTTGCTTAAACAGATGTGCACCAGAAATGATTTACAGTTACTATTTGCAAATTCCTCTCTTGTGCAATGACACTTTCACATCAGCTCCCAGGGATGTCTAAGCACTTTACAAATATTAAATAAGGCTTACAGCACTTCTAGTAAAGATATTTAATCTACAGTACAGATGGTTAAATTAGGGCACAGAGAGCTCATTTTCATAAATCGTATCACAAACCAGGAGCACAGTCAAAATCTCGGGAGTCTATGAATACCCTATACTGGCTGCTAGGAAATATTGCCCCTCTTGCCTAAACAATGCATTTCTGCTGAAAGTCTTCTACTGTGTCTTCTAACAGCAGCATAACTTGCCCTATTGCAGAAACAGTGATTTCTGTAAAATGTAAAGAAAGCATTTTCTTAAATTCAGTCACTTAGTAAGTTTAGCATCTTAGTACAGAGACTTCCCATTTTTATTAAAACAATTATCAACTGGAAAGACCTCTTTTTTTTTTTTTTTTTTAGCTTTTCAGAAGCCCAAATTTTAGGAAAAAATAAAAGAAGGAAATGAAATCCAGCATGCTGTGTGATTGGACATCACTGAGGAAAGAACCCTCCCTCTGTTGCTCTGTTTCTTTGCATGAACTACAAACTGTGAGTCACATACTGAGAGAGTGGGCAAAATTACACTCTGAGTGTGCCTGGTTTTCTCCCAGTCTATCCAGGGATATTAAAAACACTACTTAAATAAATGCTTCATTTTTTGAATGAGTAACAGATAAAACAAATATTGGAGCAATTGAGTAGCTACATGGGTGAGCCAAACTATGGCTAAGTAAATGCTTTGTTAAACCAGAGATACACATGTGACATTTAATACCAGTCTCCTACAGGATGACCAGTGACCAGAAATGTCAGGTTCTCAGATAATCACATTTCACATCACTGCAAGGTGACTTAGCAATCACAGATTACACATGTATCATCCAGCATACTCTTTAATTAGAAAGCAGCATTCTGAAAACTACAAAGCAGAAGTATCCCTAAAGAGGCAGAAATAATGAATTGTCTAGATTCTTCCTCATTGCTACAAACTGGTATTGGCACACTTCCAATCCTGCCAAGTTTTTAGAATGTTGGACACACTTCAGGAAAATGAAGCAGCTCTTACCTGAACACAAAGTCAGAACTATCAATTTCAGCTCCACAGCTGGAATTTTTCAGAATGCCTCCATTTCCAACCACAGCACAGTTCTTGAAGGGATAGACTGAAAGAGGAGAGGACTGCAAACAAAAAAAAAAGATGCAGCCAATTCTTTATAAGTGTTTTGATTGTTTCTTTGTGTCTATTTGCTCTTGCAGGTTTAAACTGGTAAATCCCAGTAAAAGCATTTCACCATTTAGCAGACAGGATTGCCAAACCTGGACAGCCAAGAGCCAAAAGTAAGCACTAACAGACAGAGAACTGTTACCTCTGCCATCAGAACTTTGAGAGAATAACACTGGGTTGTTAAAACTGGGTACCTTTTAAATACACTTAACACTAAAACTATCTAGCAGTGGATTGCAACCTTCACAAACTAAGGAACTAATTTATACTGAAGATAGTTTAAAGTTACCCATTTTCCTCTGCACTGTAACAGACTGGGGGTTGTCATAGAGTAATTCACTTTCTCAGATAATAGAAGGTAACTTTGTAAATTCTCCTCACTTTTGTCATCACACAATTACATTTGAAGCAGAATACTGAATTTAGGGGAACCTGAAGATGCTGTAAACGATAATGATGTGGCCTGGCTTTACTCTTTGTGAATGTGAGGCCTCACAGAAGAGGTTACTGTTTCTGGCTGTTCACCCTCTCTGCTCCTCTTCTTGTTACAGCTTGCTGTCTTGCAGTGGGGAAGCTGAGTGGGAACTAAGTACATCCACTTGAGAACCAGCACAGTTCACAACCTAGAAAATTAATGCAAATTGTTGGCTATTTAGGCTGACGTTAATATAGCTGGCTGTTATCCCAGTCTCAGAAACTTTTCATATATCTTGCTCAACATCTTCTGCTGTGGGAGCACTGACATTTTCCAGAGGCCAACAGCTGGGATATTTTGAGTGCACAAATTAAACCCAGTTGTAGAAGTGAGTCAAAACTTGCTTATGGAAAGCATTATCCTTCTTTCTTCTCTCATCAGCTTGGCCAAAGAGAAGCAAGAAGGGACACTGTTATGAACAAGGCAAAAAGTGTGGGTAAAGTGGCAAACATAATATTTGCCTGGCAATATATTACAGAGCAACATGTTCAAATATTTTGTTCAATTCTGAAAGGATGGTAGGAGAACACAAAGGCCAGGCAATTCTGGCTGCCTCAGCATGTGTATGTGCACATAAAGCATACTACTTTTTCATTTCTCCAGCTCAAATTTGGAATGACTATATCCTCTATTTCAATGAAGTCAGTAAAGACTGATTCACAGCAGGGTTAGGAAGAACTAGACTCATGGTAGCTGGGATCTCACAAATCAAGAATGCCAGAGGTGGGTAAGAGAGCTCCCATATGGCCTTAGCTTCAAGAAACCAAATACAAACTCTTTGTCTAGTCTCAAGATCTTGGATGTCTACTGTAATCCTGAGGTACAAAATCTGATTCCTTTTCTCAACCTGTGCTTCTTGCTGCAAACACCCTCCCCAAGTGGGTAACTAAGGTAATGAAAGGGCTGGAAGGAATGTCCTGTGAAGAGTGACTGAGGGCTTTGGACTTGTACAGGTTGGAGAAAAGAACAGATAATCTCATTGCTCTCTGGGGAAGGGAAGGGGAGAGGAAGGTGCTGATCTCTTCTCCACTGTATCCAGTGACAGGACACATCAGAATGGCTCCAAGCTGCACCAGAGGACGTTTAGTCTGTGCATTAAGAAGCATTTTTTTACCAAGAGGATGGTCAGTTGCTGGAACAGACTTCCTAGAGTAGCTGAGGTCCCCAGATGTCAGTGTTTAAGAGACATTTAGACCATGTCCTTAATAACTTGCTTTAACTTGGTCAGCCCTGAATTGATCAGGCAGTTGGACTCTGCGATCATTGTGGGTTCTTTCCAACCAATTTCTCTGTTCTACTTTATTATGTTCTATGCTATTCTGTATCAGATTTACCACCAAAATCTCTTTCACAACTTACATGCCCAAGCCTGCAATCGAAATGGCATGGGCATATGAGGAATATGAAATGTTCTTCCAGATTGAAATGCCTTTAAAAACGAGAATGACAAAAGCAAGGCAAACATTTTCAGAGTATTTGCTCCTGAATCCTGTGCTCTGCTACAGAACACTGCTCCAAGCCAGTGTTCTGTAGCAACTGTACCTCCAGTCTATGATCTATGATATCTGTAAATGCCTCTACCACTGCAGAGGAAGGGGAAAAAAACCCAAAAAACCACCTTGCAAGGTGAATAAAGTGCATACAGGGGCTGATGGGTCTCTTCCAGAGGCATCGCAGGATCTCAATTACTGACCCCAAATATATATACTGTGATTATAATAACAAGAAAAATATACAGTTCTTACCACAGGTAGCATCTTAAAAATGTCCTCTGTAATGAGGATAGTCTTTTTACTGTCCACTTCATAACTCATGTTACTTCCCAGTGGGCTGTTGTTTTGAGAAGCAATAAAATTGTGAACTGCATCACAGCAGGAAGCTAATTCTGACCTGCAAAAAACACAAACAAAACCTGCTCAAAGAGAGGCAAATAAGTAGAAAAGCAGTGCTAGAGAACCAGATCAATAAACACTAGTTTATTAACTAGCAGCAAAAAGCTATTATTAACTTTCTATGACTTCATTTCCTTTGACTTTGCTAAGCAAGTCCATTTTCACAGCAAATGTTCAGAAATTAATCAGAGCAAGAACTGATAACTTTTTATCTTTTCCCAGTGAGAAAAAGTTGTAATCAATCTCCTCGGTATTATTAATTGCTAAGATCAATATAGAAACACCAAGAGACTTCAGTCCCCAAAGAATTAAAATTTTGATTTTCACCAATATCAAACAAGTGATTGTAAGAAAATAGAAGGCTGAAGAAGGAAAAAAAAAGAAAATAAAAGAGATAGAGATGGAAGGTACTGGCAGTGGTACTTAGTGAACATCTAGATGGTTGTAAGCCAATTAATTATTAATTAATTTCTGCAACTGTTCATCACAATTTTCCTGTGCACAGTACCACAGGTGTCAAATAAATTACATTACAACTTGCACAAAAAGAAGACAGATGTGCTAGACAGATAGCCTAGCTGCTCCCCAAAACACCTAGCAGAAGTCCTTAAATAAATAAAAATGGAAGGGATTCACTCAAAGCTTTTGTGGGAGCGAAGACTGTTACTCATCTTACATTTCCTGTTACCTCCAAACTTATAAAAATATCATGTGCGCAAACATTCTACGTTATTAACAGTGAAATGAAATTAACTTAAAATCCTGCTCAGACCTTTGAAATCAGACCCAAAATACTGTAATTAATTTTGCTATAGGCAAAAACATTCTCTCTGCTGCCATGGGATCTGATTTTCTAAGGCTGAAATATTCATGGACAGACATTATGTATCAATTGCTAAGACACAGCTTTCTCATTAAGTGCGATATTAAGAGAACCACTAACAATTTAGAGAAAGTACTTTTATAACAAAATTTCCCAGAATTTTGAAAATACCATACTGAAGGTTAATTGAGAAGAAAGAAATTTACCATTAGAGCCAAAGGAATAGAAAAATTTTGCTTCATAGTGTTTCGATGTGTAAAGTAAAACAAATTGTTGAAACTAGTTAAAATATTAGAGGCCAAATTCTTCCTGAAAGTGAGCTGACTTTAATAGGGCAAGACACAGCTAAGAAAAGTTGTTTCATTTCACTTTATCAACAGTGTAGACAGAGAAAATACAACAATAACAAAAATTATTATTATAAAATATTATAAATAATAATTTAATGTTTCTGATGTAACTGAAGCATAGTCCAGCACATAGAAGAACCTAAAGATTATGTCTCTTGCAAGACAGGTTAAGGTCTGGGATAACTCTCAATCTTACTTTTCTTGGAAAAAATGGTCACAATGAGAGAGGAAGGAAGGAAGGAAGGAAGGAAGGAAGGAAGGAAGGAAGGAAGGAAGGACCATTTCAGCTGTCAGATGACTTACTGATATATATTAACACATTTTGAATACTGAGTTTCAAAACTCCTCCAAGGCAAGGTTTCCAGATGTGTGAGGAACACGGAAAGACTGAGTGCTGGGATGGCACAGATCTGAAACAACTAGGAAAGTAACCAGGAAACGTCACTCCTGAGAGAGGAACCACTAGGGTTCAGATTTCCATAAACTGCATTTGACTCCAATCCCTGAACATGGTGATTCCCACTGCCCTGCTCAAACCCTTAAGGGGCAGGGAAGACCTGTGGCTAATGAAAACCATGAGGTCCAAGGTCATGGATGGAACTGCAACTGTGCTGTGTGGTCAGGAGATACTCAATGGTGAAAACAATTCTCTGTGTGTATATAGTATCCTATTTTAAATATACGGCAAATTAAAAAGGGTGCAGTAAGGCAAATGACAGTGTCTGGGAACACTGGATGTGTTCAATAGAACCACTGGTTTTTGACTGAAGCACACTTGCTTTTCTTTCTTGTCACTTTTTGCTATAACCAGCTCATTTTAATTTTAATAAATACTGTAGCAATAAGAGGATTCAGATCTCACTGTCAGGTCCTGAGGGCACCAGCAGGCCTCACTACTGTCCAGCACCCTGGAGCTGCCCCTATCCTGTCTAGGGTCCAAGAGCCTATTTCAGTCTTCCAGAGCCATCCGTCACTGCCCCAGCAACACCACAGCAGGGCCAGTCTCCAGCTGTGTCCATCCTGCCCCAGGGAGGTGCCCACGCCTGGGCTAGGGCTGGCCTATTCCTGGCTAGGGGTGGGATGAGCCCAGCTACCAGTTTCTGCTCTGCTGGCCAGGTTACTGCCTTGGGATCCCACACCCTGTCCTCAGGAAGCAGCTGTCCTTCACTGCTCCCTGGCACTCACATGGAAATCAGGAATCACATAACCCTTAATGTGGATTTCCTTGTTTATTTTCTTGAAGCTAAATGAAGCAGGCCTAAACATTATCTGTGTCAACCACTGGACATTCAAAGGAGAAGGAAAAACGCCAGAATATTCCTGCCAACTTTAGTAAAACAGCTTTTTCGAGTGTGATGGCTACCAGAACCTGAAAATGCACACTGATAACAGAAACCATCCATTAATAGAGAAGACATGTTTTTGCTTTTTATTACTCATTCCACAAGCACAAGTGCTTCAATAAAAGCAGAAACAGTGTGGAAGAAAAACAGATATCAGAATTAATAAGAAAGTAAGAGTTTAAATTACTATTATGGATTCACTGAGAAAGTAAAACAGAGCCAAGCTAGTCCAGAACAAGAGAATACAAACTGAGTAATGACAAATATTCTTAGAGCATCCATGTTAAAAATTTGGTGGTAACAATAGAAACATTTTACTTATATCAAATCATGACACAGAATCCCACTGCGCTCAAGCATCCCTGTAGAGAGCTCCAGTGGGAATGCAGGTAACCTGCAAACATCAATACCCATGGCAGTGTGTTCAGCAATCTGCTCACACGGGATTTTGTACAAGCTCTGACATGTGGTAATCTACAACTGGCAGCAAATGATGAGGAAGGGGTAGAGACTGGGCAGTTCAAGCAATCTATTACTGCAATTTCATCAGAGCATTAATGTCATTCATATGTACTCTGTCATGAGGTGATGACTCACTGAAGAGAATTTACTTCCTAAGATTAATACATGTATCCTACAAGAGCTCTATTCGAGGAGTTGCAAAGCCAAGACAACATTTTAACTCATGTATCATGCCACCTGGGGAGAGGGAAACTTAAGATGGTGGGATAAGAAACAAGGGTCAAATCCTAACCGCACCAAACACATGTAACTTTTTTTTTTTTTTTTTTTTTTAAACTAGAAAGTGATACACATTGCCTGTTCTGACTGGGAGAAAACCCTGAGACATGGAAGCAGCTCTTGGAAGACAAGATGCTGCTATACAGGCTGAGCATCCATCTCATAGCTTTCAGAACATGAATGTAGCTTACAGTAAGAAAGTTTAAGTTCAGCTTTTATCAGAGACTGTGGACTTGCCTAGAACAAAGGATGTTTATGATCCTGTCACACATGACAAGTCCAGACTGAAGGTGATGCTTAAGTCAAAGTATCCAAGTTTTGTAGGGCACTAGTTTTGGAAAATATCTCCTCTGTACCAGAGGTTATTACTGACAGTTTCTTATTTGGAGAAGCCTTTTCCTCCAGCATTTCTCCTGCTAGGATTTGGAAGCTGAGTGATATCTAAGAGTTATTTTTAAATCCGGAGGCATAACTCCAAACACAGATATTTCTTATGCCAAGATAAGCAGAAAGGGTTTTGACTGTATTTTCTAGAACAGTCACTTGTAATAAGTGGAAAGGGTTTTGACTGTATTTTCTAGAACAGTCACTTGTAATAAGTGAGGAACAAAATCAGAACCAGATAAAAGACTTCCCCACTTTGACTGGTAATACATATCTCATAGGATCGAGGAAGTACAGTCATAACCTTAGACAATATCCTAAGTGAAGGAGTGTGCTGCATTTGTCTGGGAAGTTTTGATCACATTAGACAACAGAGTCACACACAGCTGCACTGAAAAATGTTTTTTGTTGCTCAGCATACACTTTCACTGAATTTTTTCCTTGGTGGCTGAAGGATGCAGGACTCAAGTTTGTATTGTTTTTCAGCTAGTACAGAATGTTGAGCCTATGGCATCCAAATAATTTCTTCAGGTTCATGGCCACTGAGACCTTATGGAAATCCTGCTTTCTTGAAGAAACTTACCAAAATTGTATGGCTTGCGAGACGAGCCAAATAATGTTATTTTCCAACTGCTATGAAGTTTTTCCATGCTGAACTGTTGGCACTAACAGAGGGCTGTTGCCTTGATGACATGTTTCCAAACTTTTCTGCGTAACAAACCCTTCATATGAATAGTGCACTGTATTTAGTGGAATACATATACTCTAAATATGCTGATAGAGTTTTTTTGCAGCTCCTGCAGTTGCTCTGTAGCCAAGATAGCAGCAGAATTAGCTACCTTGGTTCTGTGCTAGTATGAATATATGCATTTTAGCTGATTCAGGCCTTCTGTATATGCTGCACATGCCTGTTGACAAGTCACAGTGTGCACACATCCTGAAGACACTGCAAACATCTCAACATCTTCAACAACTCAGGGTGGACCAATCACAAGGGCTAAAACAATCAATGGTTAGTCAAGGCTTAGCAGACTCTCTCAGATGGTTCAAAAGGCAGCACTGCCCTTCCTCTGAGTAATATTGGAAGAATCTATAATGAGTGTGAATTTTGTCTTTATGTAAAAAGCTTCTGCAGAGTTTAAAAACTTCCCATTTCACCAAACTTTTTCCATTGAAAATGCTTCATTATGATACCAATGCCTGTGGATCTGCGGCCTGAGGGCATTTGTCATTGCTGAGAACAGTATGAAATATTTCACTGTTGTTATGCATTGGACTAAACTGGGGTGGGAGGAGAAAAATGGGTGGAGATAGATACTGCCAAAGTTTCAAAATATTCAAAACATTGTTAAAATAA